AGTCTCAGAAATGAGTCATTCCGCCTTTCACTGGTGGCACATTAGCGCTGCAATTGGCATAACTTTCGTGTTTCCCTCGGACAGTTCAGGGCTGTATAATCAAGGAATGTCATACATCTCCGGAGCATGTGGGAAAGTAGCGAAGGCTTGCATAACTCAAAAGCTCTAATATTTTGAGTGTTAACCTTAATTGTAATTAATGGTGCTACTTCTGATGCTCAGAGCAGAAAGTTTAATGCCTTATTTATCCATATATTTGTGGTAGCTACTTGAGTGCATTTGATATAACTGAGACCTTGTTTTCAGTCGGTGCTCCCGGGCTTCTTCTGGTTACTTTGGGGCATAAGAAAGTTAATAGTTAGTCCAGTGCTTTTGTAAATATCAAGGGTATCATTGCATGCTGACTTGGTTAACCTAATGATTATTTTTTTTCAAACCATTGGTATGTATGAGTTGATTTAAAAAAAAAAAAAAAGCAGAGGCTTCTTAAATATAGTCTGTTCTGAATTAAAGGGTGTGGTGTTGGCTTTGAATGAGCTTGATGCAGCAACAAGCATGCAGCAGTTGGTAAATAAAGATGGATTTTCTTTTGTTCTGCTGGTGCTTGCTGCTCATTATTCTCCACTTACCCCGTGAGCTTCCCAGGGAGTGGCAGCTGTTTCTGATGTTAGACACTCTATCAGTGGTAGACAGCTCCAGATTCGGTGAGATACTGTTGTGGGGAGGAGAGGAAAATAACCTAACCCTGCATTATTGTAAATCCTCAGTAGAATTAACTTTTCATGAACCGAAAGAGTTTTGTGTTTAACTTTTCCTGAAATATTCAGGCGTAAGCGTGCTTTCCAGTTTGTGTTACTGTGAAAAAGCTTTTCTGGCATGAGATGGATTTACATTCTAAGTGTGTGTTAAGTATTTTAATGTGCCGTGTGTGGGGGCAGGCACAAGGCAATAAAGGGAAATCGGTCTATAACAATCTTCGTGTATATTTCCAGATATATACAGTTTGGGAATCTTTGCAATTTGGAAATTGCTTGGAGTAAACAGAATGGTACATAAAGATTTTAAATAATACAGATAGCATGCTACAGAGGAGTCTATTTGGTTCCAGGATTTTATACGTAGGATTTATAACCGATGCTTTTGCTTTCCTGTCTCTGCAGTGTTAGCATTCTGTTACTGAAAACAAAGGCGGCTCTGCCAGGGCATTACACAAGCAGTGAATCACAGAGGAAAAAATGTTTTGCTTTGTAAATTGTTCACTTTTCTATGGTCGATCATTATTATTATTTTTTTTTAGTGTTGTCTGATAGAATTTGCCACACATGCTTGCATTTACTGTACGCGGTACAATTCTTCTAGTGTGACTATAAACTACTAATAGTAGAGACTTCAAGTAACTTCTTTCTTATGATTCTTAAAAACAAAACCGCAACAGGAACAAAGAACACGAGGCAAAAATTGAAACAGCTCACTTCACTCTTCAGGCATGACAGCTTACTGAGTATATCAGAGGAAGGAAAAGGTGTTAATGTTTTTCAGTCAGCTTTGTCCCAGAAGTTCCACATAATTATTTTTTGTCTGTATTGACAAACTCCTTTTCTGCTTAAAGGACTCAGATTTGCTGTCATGATCAACGTGGTCCTCCTGACAGGTTGTTGGAAGTTTATAGTTTTTAGCTAATCATAAAAATATAAGCTTGTTTCTTAAGAATACACACTTTGTACGTTTTCTTGATGACTGCGTTGGTGAGTCTGTGTTTCAGAACATCTGTAGAGGAACGATAGTTTACTCAGATTTGAATGTAAAATTATCCTTACAGATTATCTGATTGGGAAGTCACACAGCAGGCGATGCCTTGCCAGTTTGCTGCAAGATGCAGAAGTATAACCTCAGTGTGTTACATAGTAACACTGATACCACAGATGTGCCTTGTACTGCCCTTGCAGGAGCAATAATCAATAATGTGTATGCTTGCCATATTACAGGATTCATTAAGCTCCAGACGTGTGGAAAAAGAAGTTTAAAATCACGTTACTTATTTGCAAATTAAAAAGATAGATCAGGAACCAGAACCAGCTAAAGCAATGGATAAGGGAAGGTCCAAGTAGAATGGTCCTTGCAAAATGCCTGTCAGTAACGAAATCCTTGATTTTTCACACAGAAGGAGTGAAGAGTGAGTGTGGAGGAGGATGCTATATATGTATGGAATACACCACCTTAAAGACTATGTGATTAGTCCTGTGAGATGATGTGTTTCTAACAGAGAAACAGATCGGTGGAATAAAGCTATAAGAAAGCCAAACATAAGCATCTAATCTAAGAGGAAGAGTCTCTTGTGACAGTACAGTGTAATTTTGTGTAAAATTATGCATACTTCACTGAAAATAACCAGATAATAATTTCAGAATCCGCAAAAAATAAATGTCTGCTCTGTAAATACCGACAGGAAAGACGTGTAGCATAGATTAAGGAGTAAGGGAAATAGAAACTCTCGATGTCTTGCCCCTCTTCAGATATTTTTCATCCCATCCAATCTGGATTTAATCCTAAATGCAGGCATGATAAGGGGTATGTGATGGTTCCCTAGGTCTCCTGAGTCTGTTTATGCAAGAGATGAAAATACCAACGAGTCAGGTATGTAAAAGTGCATTCCAAAATTGCGATGGTCTGGGCAGCCGCCTCCCTGACCTGCTTACCTGGCAAACCTCTCGTCAAGAGCTAGCTTGAGCGTGCCATGTATCTTCTTGTCCCTGTAGTCACATCTGTGGTGTAATAGTAATGAGATTGGAGTAATCTCACTGATCTGGGCTGAGTTGGACTGATAATTTAAATGTGAAAGGCTTCATAATCTCCTACTGATTCCAGAAAGTTTCCAGCTTTTAATTAAGGTCAGAATTAAAAAGACGACGACAACCAAACCTTCTACATTTACTGCTTTGCTTATAAATGTTAAACCATGACAGCTTAGGTGAGTTCTTCTGAAATTCCTAAAGTGACAATGACATTTTTGTAAACCCCTTGTAGGTTAATATAACACTTGCAGCTGTAAAAGACATCTCTAAAAGAAAGACTGAGAAGGTTTGTGCTCAGTCTTTTTCCTCTCATCTTTCTTGCCCTGACTCCTGTTTCATCAGTGCAAATGGATGTTTTCTGCAGGCATGGCCTCTGTTGGAAAGTAGCTCTGTGTCACCCTCTTCTCCGGTTCAGTAAGTCTTAGTTTTTTGCTTTAATTAGAAAATTAAAAGCCTAACGAGGGCTAAACAGGTGAAAACAGCAGCTAGGGGTGCGCGCACCCATGGCCACGTGGCGTGGGCGTTGGGGTTGCTTGTGCTTCTGTGGGCAGGAGAGAAAAGTATGAGTCTGAACAGAGAAGAAGTGACACAGCTGGTGCCCGAAGCAGGTTGAAACTGCACCGCAGAAGGAGAGGAGGTCTGTGGGGAGAGGAAGGAGGCAAAGCAGCTGCAGGGGAGTTCCTGGGGCAGGCTACACATCGCTGGGAGAGAAATTACCATCAGAGGAGAGCCAAGCAGTGGGAAAAGAGTGTGTGAGCGGAGCCTGGGAGAACAGGAGAGCAGCAGAAGGTTGCCAGAGCCAATAAATCTGGGGAGCCTTTTCTTCTCGCTGTTCTCAGTGGTTGTTTGAAGAGCTTGCCAGCAGATGAAACCGTGGGCACTGGGTACCAGCCGCTGCAGGGGCAACCTTGTTGGGTGCACAGGCATGCTTCTGCTGCGGCAGATCAGAAAGAAGCTTGGCTCCTAGTCTGCTCCTTCGTCCTCTCCCTGATGTTGAACAAACAAATGAGAAACCATGCTGGAGGGAGGAGGGTATAGCTGCTGCCCAGCTGTGGGTGCTTTGTAGTGACCACTTCTTTTTTTTATAATTTTTTAAAATCAATTGTTGTTGGGGTGAGCAGAACTGGAGCAGTATGGCTGGTACCCTGATTTGAATAGCACCTTGAGTGAGGTTTTTGTGATTCAGCCAAATAGAAACATTACTGCAGGACCTTGTAGGACCTAGAGGCCCAGCTTGACACCATGCAAAGCTGTTTGAAGTTCTGGAGAGACTGCCTGAGATGAGGATAATGTGGGCAATGAGCAATGGGGGAAACTGAGGCACACACTAACAATGTCACCCAGAAGAGCCAGAGGTAGAACCCCTGTCTTCCTTCCTTGAAGCCAAACTGAGTAAATCCAGTAAATAACTGAGCTTTTGATCAACTCTTTTCTTTTTGTTCTACGTCTGGAGATTTTGAGCGTGGCTGTTAATACAGTTCCGTGACTATTCCCTCCACAGGTTACTCAGATGAGCGGTAGTGTCACATGAGCAAGGGATGTTTTCTCTGACAAAGAAAGGTGGAATATCTTTCAGAATAGATGTTTGTTTTCTTCTTTGTGGTGGCTATACATCATCCAGTGTTTTCCCCTTCCTATTGTGATATATCATCTTGCATTTCACGCTTGAGATGTTGTGAGAGGAGTGAGTGATGTTATGTAACTTAAGCAGAGAATTATCTTCTTATGTTCTAAAAGTGACTGTTGGTTTGATAAAGCAGTTGACTAATTAGTAAATTACCCATTGTTGTTTAAAATACTTGCTCTGCAAAATGTAAATGAAAAAAATTTCTCCACTTGTCAGTATGAAAAATGACAATAGCAAAAATAATACATAGGACATCTGCTCTGATTTTTTTAAAATTTAAAATGCATTTAAGGCAGATGTTGCGGAATTTGAATGGAAATCGGAGTAGATGGAAGAACAAAACATAGCTGTTTACCTTTTATGAAGTCCCATTTTTATGGTCTACATAGCTAGCAATATCTGACTCAGTGCCTGTATTTTTCCACTGTTTGTATCAGAATGAACTGAATGTTCTTAAAACTGCTGCTATGTCAGGATGACATATAGTTTCAATAATTAAAAAAAAAAATAAAATTGTTGGCGAGTCAGTATTTCAGAGTGTTTTCTGATGATCTTTCCCTTTGCCCATACTTTCTTTCCAGGAGAATACATAAAAACATGGAGGCCACGGTATTTTCTTTTAAAGAACGATGGCACATTCATTGGCTACAAGGAACGACCGCAGGATGTCGACCAGCGGGAATCGCCTTTAAATAACTTCTCAGTAGCTCGTAAGTGTTTTTTACATGCTCCCTCATCCAGTTTGGGGTTGATGTCTTGTAGTCGTAGCGCCAGTAAGTTGCATCAGTTAGATTTGAATCTGCCCAGAGCAATCTATCTAAATACTAAATGTGTTTATTTGAGATGATAAAAGCCCCCTGTGTTTCTCAGGAATGACTGTGATGTGGAGGTTTGATGCTCTGCTGCCTTTTTTTTTTTTTTTCTTTTTCTTTCCAGTTTTCTACTAATTTACCATTTCTGGTTATAGATTAAAATGGGTTTATTTGTTAATATTTTGTATATCCGTTATTCAGCAAGTTGCTTTACAGTGAAAATTAACCCAGGCGTGTGTCTCAGTCCTTGGCCAGCAGGCACAGCTGAAGCTTTTCAGCCTCTGTTCTGCCACTAGATCTGGATTCAAGTGGCATTGACATAGGTCAAAGCTGTTTCATTGTTAGCATAAGAGAACATGGAGTGAGCACTGCTTTTAATGAAAGTAACTCAGTCTTTCTTAATTTTGAACACAAAACCATATTTCTTCTGTTAGAGCCAAATCATAACATCTCCTAACCTCTGCACTCTGTACTATGCAAACATTTCTGACTCGGCTCAGGTGCTGCAGCACAGGATGTGATAGAGGACTCTGAAGATAATTTCATTTTCTTGCTCATGTTGTCCTGGTTTAGGCCTCAAACCAGGGCACGTGTTTTTAACCTTTTGCTGTATACTTCCAGCTTTTATTTTCTCCCGTTCTTAATCTTTCCTGTCTCGGGATCTGCCTATGTCTTGTTCCACCACTTAAAAATACATCATTGTGGCACCTGTTATTACCAATGATCTGTTCTGTGTTCCTGGTGACTAGTGGAAGCAAAGTTCTTCAGAGAGAAGGGTAGCAGCTTTCCCTCTTCATTACAGGGTAGCTTGAAATATATGGGGTTCATCTTTGTAGTTGACCTTTAAGCAGACAGATTTATTTTGGAACACCCTGGGCCTGCAAGAAGGCCGGGCAGCACTAGGAGTTAATGCAAATGTTCTTTTTTTTTTTTCTGCTGGTAGCAATATATATACCTGTTCTGGCTGATGATGGGAATGAATAATGGACACGCCGTTGCCTGGTGCCTCTGTGCAGGGTGCCAAGAGTGCTTTGGGGTTTTTTGTCAAGTTTTAGAGAGAGAATTGTCATAGCGTTTTCATTTTGGTAATGACACGGTACTTTTCTCTTTAGCCTAGTATCTCCTATGGATCAAGAAGGTAAAGAAAAGCAGCAGAAAGCCATTAATTCATAAATTAATTTGGTACTTGGTCTGTAGCCAGAGGCTTTTAACAAAAGCACTTTTTGCAGGACACTTCCATCCTGTTGCTGCTAACTGCATTACTTATGGTAATTATTTACTGCAGCTCAGTGCTAAGGAGTAAAAAAAAAAGGTGTGTCTGTTGCCTTCTCTTTGTCCAAGTTGCCTTTGAAAAGGGTTAATTTAAATCAGTTTTCACAACAGGAGTATGGTGCTTTTTTTGGCAGATTGAGCCCGTCAGTCTTGGCATTTCTAGATAAACAAGTTTGTTACCATGGTATCGGAGCGTTGTCAAAAAAGACATGACACATGCCTATAGAGTAAGGTATAGCCCCCGTAAGAGGGATTGCAGGGAGGGTGGCGGGTAGAAGGATTTTCCTAGCAGTAGTTCTTGCCTGGTCAACCTGTGGCAGGTCGGGAAGGCCCTGATGATTCGGGGGGGGCCCTTCTCGCTAGAAGTCATTGTTGTGGTTTTGGGCTCACAGAAGCAGCTGTTGCCCCACCAAGATTTAATTTCTCGTGTGGGCACTGGCATGCAGCGATGCCAGCACCTGATGTGCAGTTCCCTTCTGGGTACCCTCCACACTTGTATCATTTGGATGTGTTTTGCACCACAAGTTTTCCCTTTGAACCTGCTTGCCTGGTACTTTCATTTGGGTTGATTTATTGAGTTAACGTGAGTGAACTCGAGCTGCCTCTGGAAGAAGGCTCAGGCCAGGACGCAGCCTTGTGCTGCAGAGGCAGCCTGCAGAAGCCTCCTGCCAGTGAAAGGTGGGGGGAATTTAGCTTAAATGTTTTGTAAAAATTCATCCTCTTTTTTCTTTTCTCTTTTTTTTTTTTCTTTTTCCAAGAGACCATGATAGCCCTGACTCTTTTGTTAATTAGTGAACTAGATTTTTTTCTTTTTTAATGAGATGGCAGGCTGTCTCTGTCAGTCTGTTCTTTGGAAGTGGTCCCATGCTTCTGATTAAAATCTTTACCCTCTTCTGCTGTAAAATAACTTAGGCTTTTTTATCCTTGCAAGTAAAAGGGGTTTTTTTTTTTCATGACTAGGGAACTCTTCTTACTTGTAGTGTAAAATTCATATCAAGTGAATTTGTCAACCCATGAGAGGCAGGAAATATTCAATTCAGGAGAAAACAATGAAAAAAGATAACATCTAATGATGATCTGTCTTTTCCCTTAACAGGTATGAAGAAAATATTAGCAATAAATAGAATGTGCTTTCGATCTGCTTGACAGTGTCTTCTTTCTCCTACACTAGCCTTTTCCTTTCAGTCTGTGAGAGTTTTGATCATATGTCTTTGAAAACTTGTTTCTAGGGCCCCCCATGGGTAAAGAGAGGCTCACTTTTTTTTTTTTTTTTTTTTTTTCATTTTTCTCCACCTAATTTTCCATTTGAAATAGCCATATATTTATGTTTGGAATGTAATGATATGTTTAAGGAGTTTATTTTCCCTGGAAGTTACCTATTGATGATTTTTTTAAATTAAACCAAAAAAACAACAAACAATCCAAAAACCCCAAAACCAAAGCAAAACTCCTGAAAGATGGTGCCTGAGCATTTAACTGCGATTTTTGACTCATATTTGTGTTCACGTTCTGTACCACTAGCAAAATAAAAGGAATAAAAAAGCCTGTACCTAAATAGTTCCACTCCAGAGACCCTGCAGATAAATTACCAATAGAGCCTGTGTTGTAAATCTGCAAGATAAGTAGCCTTTATACCGATTGTAATCTGGGATTATCATGTATGTCTGCCTATTAGGTTATAAGCCTTTAAAACCATATAGCTGAGAAGAGCAGTATATTGTGAAAAACCACATGGAGAGAGGGGCTGTTCCTGTTAGAAAGAAGGGATTTTTTTCTCCGACTGTCAAAAAGGAGGGTGGACTGCAGTGGTTTTGTTGCGCAGCTGAAAACATAATTGCTCAACAATATGAGTGCTCCTTTTGGGACAAGACTGTGTGTCTGCAGTCGAGCATTTATCAGAGGGCACAGGATGGCCAGTTAAGTGGACAGATTTTTTTTTTTTTTTTTTGTGTCTGCTGTTACTTGTGGCCACCTTAGACCAGGCCTGTAACTCAGGGCTCCCAGCTCCTCGCTTCTGCCACACTGAGCTGTTTTGGGGCAAATCTACCCAGTGGTGCTAGCAGAAAAGGAGCACTTCAACATAATATTCCTGTTTGCCTTTCCAAAGTTTTATTTATTCATCATTCTTCTTGCCTGACTTAACTTTTTTTTTTTTCCCCCCTCAAACCCTCCCATCCCTTTCCTTAAAGAAACCAAAGCAGGAATATTCTTCCTTGACACTATTGTTTTAAGTGTGATGTCATTATATAGGGAGCAGAGTTTGACACTTTCATCGCAAGTAATCTGTCTTTTAGCTTAAGTGCTGGGGAAGCAAATATTGTGACATTTTAGAAAGTCACTGGGATAATACTAAGTGTCTTTCAAATACAAAATGGTAATTTACATTTGAATGCCTTGGTGTCTATTTCTGTTAGGAACAATTTCTCTGTCCTACTTACTTTAAAAGACCAAATGCCAGGAAAGAATCAAGAGGGTCTTTAGAGCAATTTAAATCATTTTGAACAGGCCGCTGTTTGCAGTACTTACTTTGTTGCAAATGGGGAATACTTATGTTAGCCTGTTTGACAGGAAAGGCTGTCTTTCGAAGTGGGTAGGAGACCCTCGGCCTGTATTTGAAACATGGATGGTTTTATAGCAGAACCCCCAAACATGCCATGAATCAGACCTAATGTTATACGGCATCTCTATCTGTGCTCTGCTGTAGTGGCGCATGTTGTGGTGCGTGATTATAGAAGGCAAGTTGGGTGCTTCTCTAGCTTGCCAATTACAGTAAAGAGCACAGAGTTGGTTTAAAAAGTGGGAAAAAACCTACTCCTTCCTCGTTTCGTTGATAAAAATCCATGCGATTGTCATATATGGGGAGAACTAAGTGGTAGCTTCAAACTTTCCGAAACCTATGTGGTACAGCACTTTGGTAAAGCAATTTAAAAATAAAGCCTTCTGTATTTCTTGATATGTGCTGTTATGATTGAGCAGGGTAATTAGACAGCATATTGTTCACTAAACAAAACACTTCTATGTGACATACTTGAATTATAGTGGTTATTAACTGACAAATCTCTATTATTCATCTTGCTGTATGCCTTAAAGATTGCTGGATCAGCAAGCTTAACAAATATCAATGGACAGTGCTGATTTAGGGGAAAATTGGCGATGTTTAATTGGTCCCCTTCTATGACAGAAAATGCCTTGTATGGTTTATTATGCTGAAATTAAATGGTTAAAGTTTAGAGTTCATGGCTGGTTTAAATATCTGTGCTGCTACTTCAGAATACTTAATCTGAAGCACTCAATGTGAATCTGAAGTCTGTTTTAAAAAAAAAGTAAGCAAAACCTCTCAGTTTATTTCTTCATAATGTTGCACTTCTGGATAAGTATAGGAGAACAGCTCTGGATGAGCACAAGGTTAGAAACAGCCTGATTTTCTTCTTCAAACGTTCAGCCTAATTCAGTATCTGTTAGGACTGCATTGTGCAGGCTCATAGAGGGCAACCCCAGCCTTAATCTAATCACATTAAGCAAACGAAAATGGGAGACAGAACGAATGAACAACAAAAAAAAAAAAGAGCAACTAAGCTAAGGTGCGCGATCCTGGAGCAGCAATGAGATCTTTTGAGCTGAATTTATCAGAACTGGGCTTACTGGGCTGCACCAGCTGGTGCGCTTGTGTTCGGCTTTCAGTGCCATTCTGCCGAAGAGGATGGAGGTGGCTGGAAGGCTGAATACGGCGCTCTGCGAGCACGGCTGCGTCGCTGCGTGGAAGTTCTTTAATCTCGGTGAATGAAGGAGTGCCGTTTATCACACTAAAACCTTTTCATGACTCGTTAATAAACTTTCTCTTATCTAATTGCAGTGCTTTAGTAGGATGCAGCATAACCTCAGTGTGCTATTAAAGAAAAATTAGATTTTCTTGTCATGAAAAATGCAAAGTTACTCATTGAAAAGCTTATAATTCCAGTAGCAAATGAGGCATGAAATATATTGCCAAAAATACAGAGCCCAAAAACACTGGCAGTAAATATTTTATCTTGGTGCTAATTAAGAGCTTGAATTTAGAACTGAGCAGTCTAAATTTTCACAATAATAAAATTAACCTAACGATACCAGTGTAGCCTTAGTAACGTGCACTGTTCTTCTGGCTGGATTCTGTCCTCGACTTGCACATTGCTGATGGTGGAGGACGTTCATAGCTCTAGCAGTAAGCAGAAATTTTTTTCCTGTCTTCATAGTGCCTTTTTATTTACTTGGAAGTTGATTTAGAACCTGAAGACCAAATAATAGCAAGCTTGTGGTTTCATTAACTGCAAGGAAAAGAGTTTAATGTAAGAAAAAAAACCAAAAAACAATTATGTCTTATTTATATTAATTTTTTTTCCCCTCTGCTCGCTTGGTTTCTTAATTTCACTTTTCCTTTAGCAGGAGCTGTTTAATTAGCATTAGATTTGCTATTAATATATATCTGAAAAATGTGGTGTTTTGGTTTCTGTTGTTATTTCATTGATTTTGTTTTTCAGATGCTTTGGTTTAGTACAGCTAGTGTACTCTTAATCAGGTACATTTTTCAGGCCCAAATTTGAAGGACAAGCACTCATAACATGCTATGAAGCTTAAAATAATAGATGTGATTTAAAAAATAAATAAATAAATAAATAAAGATAATGCTCAGCTTGAGAGAGAGAATTTTTATGAAGGAAGAGGTGTTTTTGCCTGTAGCTGTTCCTCTGTAGCCTTTTTAGGTGGTGCTTAAATACTGGCAGTGATGAAAGCTGTTAGTTGCGTGTCCCTACGGCATCTGAATCTGCCGCAGCTGTCCTGAAGGCCTTTTGAACGGGGTCTTCTCTGGGGGTGCCTCTGCAGTTTGATGTTCCCTCTAGTGTTTGAGGAATGGAAATGCTGAGTCTAATCTTCGTCAGGTCGCTGCAAAATGACCAAACATGCTCTCTAGCAACGCCTTGAAAGCCAAGGACAGGGTTTTATGTCGGGAAAGTCAAAGGGAGGAAACATAGGGGTTTGGCTTTAGTTTCAGTGGGTGTAATTGCTGCATTATCAGCTGACTTTGTCCGTGTGCTCTGCTTTGGATGACCTTTGGAGTGTAGGACCCAAGTCTGAATGGCTTCTGTGTCATCACATCACATTTCTACCTACTGCTCTGGGTGGACGAAATGTGGAGCCTTTCTAAGCAGAATTTGATTTTGGTGCCGCTTAGATGACTATCTCCCAAGCTATTTATTGATTTCATCAACACAGTAAATTGTCTCAAGTTTCCTAAAGAAGTACTTGCAGAGATTTCTATGGCTGATTAATCGCAACAGTTTGCTAGATAAGAATAAAGACAAATGATTATTTAAGCCTGCTATATGTACCATGACTCTTTCTTCCTTGATTGTGGTAGAGTGCCAGCTGATGAAGACAGAACGACCTAAACCAAACACATTTATCATTAGATGCCTCCAGTGGACCACAGTAATTGAAAGAACATTTCATGTGGAGACTCCAGAGGAGCGGTATGTTTCATTCATATTTAATACATAAACTACTTGCAAAAGCAGATGCAAGTGTTCAGCATTAATAGCGAGTCCTTTGCTGAAGCCCTTATTTATCAGATGATGTACGTCTAGACTAAAAAGCGACAAATAATTTTTGAGTGCCTCAGTTTGTGCGTGCTCTGGTATAAAAGGTGCCTTAAAAGGGGGTTTCAGAGAGTGGATTTTGAGTAGTATTTGTAAATGAAATGGGTTGGGTATCCAAAATGGACAGGCGCAGGTGTGTACCAGCACACAGGTAGATGTTTCTGGAAACTTAAGGTTCATTTCTCACTGGAAATGTTGTGGTATGTGAAATGAAGGGTTTCTGACCTGGGAGTCGCTGGAAGGGTGAGCGTAAGTGAAACAGAGATTCAGGCAAAGTTGAGTTGTATCAAAATACTGACCTTTTAAAGTCTTTTTAGATGCTTTGTTTTTAAAGGAAAAAAGTTAGTTGTATCATCGCTGATTGCTAATGTTTTATGCAAATTAGATAATAAAGGTGATAGTTATCTGCTGCAGGTGCAGATTTCTGCTTCAGCTGTTAGGAAACAAAGTTAAGAGCATGCATCCTGTGCTCTCATCATTGGAGAATTGATCTCTTGCCTCCTGAGAGAACAGTTTTCCAGCACGGCTATTCTACAACTACAGAGTATTTAAATATTTACTTGATCTTCAGGAACTAAACTTTAAATTATTCCAGTACCATTGCCCTAGGGGAAGGGGTATTTTAAAACCCTTGTTCTCCCTAGATATGACACTGGCACATGGTTATTTTTAAGATCAGCAAATTCTACATAATATTCTTTGCGCTTTTCTTATGCAGCCTTTGCATGCCCAGATTTAAAGAAGGTTCCTGTTTATTGCTTTTGATTCTATTACAATGATCAGAAGAAGGTGAAATCAAATTAAAAGCAAAGAAAAAGAAACTGGTCCTTGTTTCTCTTAGTAGCTTTGTGATCAGTGACCCTAAAGGGAGTGAATAACAGTTTCCACTTGGGGGAAGATTGTATTTCAGTCTTGTTTTGTTCCCTCCTAGCCAATTAAGTCAGCTTTGTGACACTGCAGTCTTGGAGTGTTAGTCACCTCTGTTGTGTACGCTTGAGACATAAAAGCTGAGGGTGAAATTCTGGTCCCCCAGAAATCAAAGATACTCACTTCAGCAGGGCTGAGTTCTCAACCAATCAGTAACAAATCTTAAAAGAGATGTGAAGCTAGATACACCTTTAGCATGCTCTGTGCCTTTAAAACCAACATTTGTTTTTTCAGACAGATGGAGAGATACAGAAGAAAAAGTTTTTTTGTAATCGTTCTGAATATGAAAAATGACTAGTAAATAAAGGAATGTGTTTGGGATGTTGAATGAAATAGTCTATGTGGGGAGAATGTTCTGAATGTTTAGCATTACCTTGCTGCCCCAAACAGAGATGGATAGTGCATGTTAAGACAAAATCCAAAATAAGAAATGCGCAGGGCAGGAAAGACCTTATGTGTAATTGATGCAGGTTTTATTAGAATCTTATGTTGGGTACTTTCTCCCATGGACTTTGCTTCCTCTGGGGAATGATCTGCCTCTTCCATCCATCACAAACTGAAATTCATATGTTCAGATATGTTTTTTTAAATTTTATTTTTAATAATGTCATAGAACCAGTGAAAAATTTGACATTGATTAGGATGGAATGGCTTCACTGCAGATTGGGCATAGAGTTGTTCAGCATTGGCTACTGCTGTTCTTGCTGTAGTAGCAAAGTCTTTTATCTGGAGTGTCCTTGGGAGAAGAGTTTAGCCTGTGCCCAGAAAATATAAACTAAACCCCTATGTCCCGTTCCCTGCAGGTAGAAAAGACAATAAAAACATGGTAAATTCACATAGTCCACTGAAGCTGTCTTCAGCCCCTGTATGCCTTAAAGCCTGCCCCAAAACCCTGTAAGCCCTTACAAGTTATATGCTTTATGTTCAATAAATTTGCAGTGAAATGAAGTGAAGGCCAAAAACTTTCACTTCAGTAGTTTCCAAAGGTGTGAAATTTCCCAAAGGACACTGGAGTGGAAGTGGTCTCCATGGGAGTTGAAGGGGTCAGTAGTGGAGCACCCATTGCTGAAACAGCTCTGGAAACTTCATCGTAACCAAGACCTGTGCCTAAGATAAAATGTCACTGCTTTTGTTGACATTCTGCTAAGATTTCCACCGGAGTTGCTGTACTTCTGTCATTGTCTTTACAACAGAGGAATAACCTAAGTATCCTGGGCTTCAATACCTTCTCCTACAACATTGGTTGCCATTAAAATTCGGGGTATGTGTGCGAAGAGGTGGCATAGTGCCCCCCCCCCAGCCATTGGATATATGTGTTTCAGTGCATCATAGGAATGGAGAAGCTGTGTTTAATTGCTTTGTGCTGCATGGGAGCCTTTTGGTTTTTGGTTTTGGCAAGTCTGGTTTTGTTACATAAAACTCTATCGCCAGGTCATATCTTGAGCTGCTGACTGAATGCCTATTAGGAATTCTGCTGTCTGAAAAACCTTATATTGTATCCAGACTGGGAGGACTTCAGTTGTCTCTTGTTTCCAGTATGATTAATGAGTGTATGTGTTAAAAGTGCTCTTAAAAACGCATTTTTACAGTGCTTGAAAATGCACATAATTCATTGTATGTTGCATTGATTCATCAGAGAGCATTAGTTGCTCTGTATTCCTTGGTGACCCTTGCCATGGCAGACGGTAATGTAAAGTCACAAGTAATAAATGTCTTTGCTTATGTTTTGCCAGGGAAGAATGGACAAAAGCCATCCAAACAGTAGCAGACAGCCTCAAGAAACAGGAGGAAGAGATGATGGATTTTAGATCTGGCTCTCCCAGTGATAATTCAGGTGCTGAAGAAATGGAAGTTTCTATGACAAAGCCAAAACACAAAGTGGTAAGTAAGCATAGCAGGAATAACAATATTTTTAGGTCTCCTCAAATGTAGACAAGAAGTAGCCATCAAGACACATCTATTCCCATAAAAATTACACAGTTGGTTGCAGATGCAACTTCTGGGGGAACCTGGATTTGATTTGCATATGGTCCTGTGGTACAGAGCCTGAAATCATAGTTTCTGCTGGACTGTGTGACTGTGTAAACCCTTTGCAGGCTGGTGCAAAGATATTCCAGTGGATTTGCAGGATTTAGAGTGGATTTAATTGCTCCAGATAAAGGTTTAAGCTAACTCCCAGAGAGCTGCTGTGGTGTCTGTCCGTAGTGTTCTAGAGCTTGGGTTTTTGCATCAGACACAGCATTGTCTGAAGGCAAAGGGCCAGCTCAGCAATGCCCTTCCATGAAAGGAGTTGTGTGCCAGAGGAGATCTTTGTCCTGTGGAGGCTTTTTAGGTATCTGTCTTCAACCTTCCTTCACTTCTTTCTGCTCCCTCATGGTCTCCTGTTGGGGTTTCCATTTTCCAAAGTGTTCCCACCTGGTCTTGAAAGAAAGAATTGATAGAACCTTCTCCCATGCGAATGCTATGTCTGTGGATTGTACCAACACACTTCTTCGTGTCCTTATCTCACCATTGTCATCCTCATTCACTTTCATAAGTTTGTTTCAGTTTTGGGAAAACCAGTGACATTTTTAGAGAAAAGATAGCCATCCACCAGTGTCATCACCGGTGTATATGCCATCCTTGTGTCATGTCAGTGGTTTTAGACTGATGTGGGTGGCTACTAACACATCACTCTGAATTGTAGCTGCCGTTAGCCTTCTGTGTCCTTGACTGAACGGATACCGCTCTTGCTGAGTAGCTCTTTGTAGAAAAGCAAGAACCACCTCATTGGTCAAATATACATGTTCTTCTGAGACAGTGACTGTGTCTCTGGGCACGTTAGTGAGGATAACCAAAATGATTATTGGGATCGTGGCATCAACTGTGTTGAACAATTAGCAGAAAGTCTCCTCAGCTGGCTCTAGGGAAGAATATGAAGGAAGTTTGCTGTTGGGAACGTCTTAAATTTTTTCCCCAACTGAGGCTGCATAGCAGCTGTATAAGTCTACTTATTACCACGTTGGCAATAGTCATTGATACAAGAGTACAGAGACTATCCTCAGCCTGATTCTCAGAACATTTTTCCTAATGGTGAAACAAGTAAGAGCGAATGGCTAATCTGTGAGGCAGCTGTTTTGTGCTGTTCAATGAAGGACAAGAAAGCTGGTTCCCTAGAGAGGCAGGGAACATCAGAAAAAAGGTGTGGTTTTGATCCCTGGAATCAGAGCAACATGTGCCTTTTAGTGAATGTCTGCACTGACAACGGTCAAAATGTCTATGGATTAATAATAATATGTTGAGCAGTATTTGCACAGTTGAGTGTTGAGTCATGTGAAAGCGTGTTCTGTTAATTGAAAGCTTATGGTTTTCCCTAAATAGTTTGATTGATTATCTTTGGGAGTGCACTGGTATTCATTTTTATGGAAGAATCATTTCTGCTTTTGAATCCTAATAAGTAAAAGGATTTAAAAAAAACACATATGCAGTGGCTTCTCACGTGAATGAGAAATTCTAGTCCGAGAATGTTGTACTTGTCATTAGTTCATGTAATTAATTTCTTGTTTATCTGTATTATTAACAGACCATGAATGAGTTTGAATACCTTAAACTACTGGGAAAAGGCACTTTTGGAAAGGTCATTTTAGTTAAAGAAAAAGCAACTGGACGGTATTATGCTATGAAAATTCTGAAGAAGGAAGTTATTGTAGCAAAGGTGAGTAGATGGGAAACTTGGGAATGTGGTTCATCCTTGATACCACCTTTGGGAAAGTCATACCAAGGATTCTCTGAGTACTTGTAAATAATTGCTCCATCAGTGACTGAAATGGACCCCTGATCTGGGAATCGCTTTGCTGATTTCCTTCTGCTTGTGTTTCAGGATGAAGTAGCGCACACGCTGACAGAAAACCGTGTTTTACAGAACTCGCGGCATCCATTCCTAACAGTAAGCATTTCTCCCTCTGCTGAGTGTAACTTGACATCATGACAACCAACACTTTTCTTATTTTTTGTTACTTATATAATACATCTAAGATCTGTGTTTTCAGAGTGGCTGTGTATTTTTGTACCCTTCCATTTTTGGGAAGCACAAATAAAAATGCTTTTTTAAGTCTTCTTGCAGAGCAGGTCCTTGGTACCTCTTGAAGACAGTGTTTCAGGGTGTGGTTTGACTTTATGGCTCACCCATTTAATGGTTTGCTATCTCGGAGAGAAGTATCTGCTTTCCTTGTACTCCAAATTCTTGGTCTCCTCTTTGCAGCAGAGATTGGGGTGTCCCTGATCTTGTGACAAACAAGTTCAGGAAGATATAGTGGCAGAAAAACTTCAATTTTGCCTGCTTTTGTTGGGTTTTTTTTTTTTAGCTTCCAGAAGCAGCTTGCTGTTGAATCAGAGCAGTGGTAATGCCAGCCAAAGGATAGTGGTAGGAGCATGTGGGATGGGACAGGGAAGAGCAGGACCGTGCTTTATCCGCTGCTTTCCTTTGGACTGGCTTAGCTGTAAAACCAAACCACGCTCTCAATTTAGACCTCCAATGCCAGCAGTCTCCCTGGGTTGAGTTCAGATACCTAAGTTTCACCTCAGGATTTTGTTTCTCGTATTTATTATAAGTTGGCTCTGAATTGTTCCCAACCCCTTAAGCCCTCTAAGAGACCCGTGTAGGATCCCAGGTGTTTCCTTTGTCCAGCTACGTAAGGGCTCAGCTGGAATTTAGACCTTTTAAACATGGCCTCTGGAAGTAAATATTGGCTGTATTGAGTATAATCAGTAAATGTTTGTTGACGTGTCTAAAACATGATCCTCCCTTTCTCTGCAAAAACATGACTGGTTTAAAAGTGCCACCCCTGGTAATGAAGACGATGATATCATATGCAGTATTTTCCTTCTAATGCTTTCATAAACCCAAATATCCAAAACAAGGGCTGTCTTGAAGTCGGCTACGAGACTGGGTTACGACCAAAAAACTTACGACTGTGGCAAACAAGTTGATGTTATTCTTGCCACAGCAATACACGTGACAGGACTGTACAAAGGCACCTTGTGATGCTCCATCACACCCTCCGTTCGGTCTGTTTTTGTGAACTGCTCACAAATTGATACTGACAGCATTGCTCAATCCTCTGGCAGGCTGTCAGCAGGGAGCAGTTGCAGGCAGCCTGGCAGAGACAAGGAGGCCGGTGTGTGTAAATATATATGTGTTTCATACATGAGGGCTTGTAGCCAGTGTGGTAAAACCTTGTGCTGTGGCGTTTGGTTGTGGCCTCTTGTCTGTGAGACGAAAATGAGGGGAGCTTGTGGCCTGGGGAGGAAACTTCAGGGCCACAATCGGTACATTCGATATCCCTGTTAAGAGGCAAGGACTTTGTTTCACAGCATTATAGGCATTGCTGTTAGCTTCTGCAAGGGTTTATGTTTTAGTGGTTTATATTAAATATATTTAATGAAATAAGTTGGTGATGGATCATCCTCAGCTGCAACAGGAAAGTGTAAGTGTTATATAAGAGCCAAGGACAAAAAGTCCACTAAAATAGGAAATTTCACGTCTGCCTATGTTTCTGAAAATCTATTAAAAATGCTTTTGTAACTGTCAGTGTGATCTGTCTTCTAAGTTTTGCTTTAAATCTGTTTCAGGCTTTGAAGTATTCCTTTCAGACGCATGATCGCTTGTGTTTTGTTATGGAGTACGCTAATGGAGGGGAGGTAAGGGAAATGTAATAATGTTTAATACTTTAGGATTTTCCTGTACTGCTGCTATTTCTGCTTGACATTATTTAGCTAAGGTCCATGTTTGCAATTCTAATTAATCCAAGTTGTCCCAGTTAAACAGAGGTGTTTGCAGGTTTAACTAATATTAAGAATTAAGACTCTTAATTTTCTTAACTCCATTTTTAGAGAATAGAGGGTTTGGGTGCAGGGTCATATTTTACATGACAGCAACATACTGTAATCTGAGATTTAGTAACTCAAGAAGGCAAGGTTGCTTTCTAGTTGCTCTTCAGACAACTCTTAACACATTTTAATGAACATTGTGAGCACGTGTTACTTTGGAGGGAGAACTGGACATAGCAAACTACTGTTAGACAGTTCAGAAGGAAAAGTTGGAATATCAACTGTAGTTTTAATATATAATTGTAGTTCGTCAAAATGGCTTTTTTATAGTTTTGTGTACATGCAAGAATGTGCAGCACACAAACCGGTTATATCTCATATTCACAGATGCACACTGATAATTGTCTAGTCATTTAATTTATGATGCTTTTTAACACATTTGGTAACACAGCTGGGTGAGGGTGGGAAGGGGTTTTCTCTTAGGTAATACGGCATTCCAAGCATTCCAAGGTAATACGGCCTGTGAAGTGTGAGACATAACTCAGGAACACGTGCAATCTAAAGGTAACAAATTATTGTTCTTGTAGTTGTTTTTCCATCTGTCAAGAGAGCGTGTCTTTTCTGAAGACCGGGCTCGCTTTTATGGAGCTGAGATTGTTTCAGCACTGGATTACTTACATTCAGAGAAGAATGTGGTTTATAGAGATTTGAAGGTACGTAGAAAAATAATTTCATAGGCTTTCTGGCTTTTTTAAGCCTGAACTATAAGAAAACCTTTCCTGACTGAACTTTAACGTAACAGTTACTACAGCTGTTGGACTTGACTTTATGGGATATCTAAACGCTTTTATAGTTTAAGAGTTTGTATAATGCATTTATCAGGACCCTGGCAGCATTTCAGAGAATTTGAAGGTGTACTGAGCTACTTGGGTTGCATTTCCACTTGCCTGCTTATGTTCCAAGAGAAACCTTGCTGGCTCTTCTGCATGGTGAAACATAATCCTGGGCTCTTCATCCCAGGTCTTATCAGATAGATGCGAATTCATACTGTGTGGATGTTGTGCTTCCTTGCAATGTGCTCTGCAGCACTATCTTCATAGTATCTGCTTGCAGTTAGAAAATTGGATAAGTTTCAAGTTGCTTATTTGTTTGGTGAGCAGAGAAGGAGGAAAAAAAAAACAACAGCCAAACAAGAAATCTCAGGGCAAACAAACTTGGGAAGTTGTTGAGGAAAATGCAACGATAGCATTTTTCTTTTTCTGAGAAATGTTTTCAGGAGAGAATGAGGGGATACTAGTATTCCATTTAGGAGCAGTCTACAATGAAGAATGCTATGTGGAAAGTCTGTCCTCAAATCTGAATGGCCTTGTCAAAAATGAGTGTCAAAAGCTAGGTTGTATACCAAGTGCTGAGTAAATGTATTAAGTGGTTCTCATGTAAAGGGTCTCTTTGGAAGTGGTTCCTCGACCTTCCATTTGATTTTTCTTTTGTTTGCTGTCCTTTACTGGTACGGAATACTTCATCCCTGCTTTTGCTCCAAGTGATTTTATGAAGTTGTAGGAGGGGGATTACTTAATATACTTTTAAAAGAACTGCTGTTCTGTTGGTGATAATGTTGTAGAAGCATAAATACAATGCCTACGTTCTGCGTTCTTTCTGTATATACGATCAGTTATGCAAAGACTGCAAATTAGTTACCTAATGTTCCCCAAAGAAATAAGTTAAGTGATATAAATGCATATTTACATCATGCGTGCTTTGGCAGTTACTATGGTTCTGACCCCTGTGAGAACAAGGTTGAAAACTGATCTGCAGAAATTCATGTCTTTCATTGACTTGCTCAGGAGCAGTGTATGTTATACATAATAATGTCTTTCATTTGGATTTTCTTCTCAGTTGGAAAATCTTATGCTTGATAAAGATGGACACATAAAAATAACAGACTTTGGACTTTGTAAAGAAGGCATAAAGGATGGAGCAACAATGAAGACTTTCTGTGGCACTCCAGAGTATCTTGCACCAGAGGTATATTTATGTTAGCTATTGTACTAAATTATATTCTTAAATGCCATCCGTGATAGCAGTAGTGATATAGAATGATGCCTGTGCCATAATGTGTTCATACAGTAACTACTGTTATATAACAACACATACTGAGAATCTTTTATTCATCATGTTCTGGGATTATCTTTAGCATAAAGATGTGTGATAATTTTTGGGCAGGGTAGTATCTTCCTTTCACTGTAGCGAATATTTACATTTTACTGGAACAGTGCTTGTTTCTTGTGTCAGAAATCTAATTAAAAAAAAAACACTTTTAAATTACTTAAATTACTTGATGGATTGGCGATTGTTTTGCAGTTTGTTTGCTGTGTGTTAGCCTATTTGAAAGCTATCAAGAGGACTTTGCTTAAGGAGTGAAAGTATTGTCCAGTTCTTACACTCTTTGATGACAGTATAAGGCGACATGTTTTCAGAAACAGGACAGACCAAGTTTCTTCTGCAGTATTTAGCATCGTGTGCATTAAAAGAGCCAACTGTTTTGTGACTGTAAGAGCATGAGATGTTTCTCAGTGTTAATTTAAACTTTTCAGTTTCAGAGGAAATAAATGCAAGCAGGGGATCTCAGTCCCCAGACTGTATGTTTTGGGGATTTTTTTGTACTTTTATTTTTTAAGTGTAAAATGCGAATGCGTGCTTGCAACTTTTATCCTGGAAATGCTCCTCCTGAGTGTTGTGCAACACAGGTGGTGGTATAGCCCTGAGTTAGTTACAGCAGATCAAAAGCGAAAGTGTGTGATAGAGGATATATGTATACATGGTATTTTGCAGGCAGACGCTACTTTTCTCTGCCCACGCTCTGAGCTGTCTGGAAGCAGACTCGCTGTATTAGTAGGGCACTGAGCCTGAGCTAACGCCGTGTGCCTCGCAGAAGGGCTGGTTGCCTTGCAGTGGGTGCTTTCCCACCCCGACGTTAAGGCTTCCATCCGGTGTGAAGCACAGGCAGAAGCAAGTCTTGGGCTGCCGGCAGATTATATATTGCTGGCACAGCCAGGATGTAGCCTTTCTCTGAGGTGGGAGACTTGGGCATTGCAAACCTTTCTTAGTTGAAGTATGCAGAAGTATGGAAACCAGAGTGGAGGAGGAATATTTCTACTGAGAGCTGATGTCTTTGCTGATCAGCGCTTTTGTGCTCGTGGTGGCAGCGTGCTCTTGTTTTTTAGTTGTTTTGGTTTGGTGTTTTTTTTTAACTCCCAGCTGCTTTCAAGGGCCTCCAGTCTCTTTGTAATAATGAAGAACGTGGGCACCTGTTGAAGTAGCTTGCAGCAAGGAGGTGGAGCCAATCTCATGGTAGCTGCCAGCTCTCCATGGATCACCAGAAGCCTTCAGTGAATCTAAATTGGGGTCCGTGCACCACAATTTGGATTTACTGATGCTGGGAGTAATTAGCAGCATGACGGAGTGTTTATTATTCATAAACATGGCTTTTATTTTAGCTTCCCTTTTAAAATCAGTTACTGAAGTTTCTCATCAAGGATTTTATGAGGAGACTAAAAATATTTATTGCTTTGGTTTTGTTTTTTCCTAACTTGGAATGCGGGGATTCCCTGTGCAGGCGTTATGTTGTTCTTTCTGTTATAGTATTTGCTATTATTTTTCTTTTTAATATTTATGATGAGTTGGCTTCTCCAAAACCCTGAAGGATAAATCCTTTTGATTAACCCAGCTCTCCCCTTTACTTGCAAATCCCATCTGTGAGTTGGAGTGTTAAATTCTGGAGGCTTTTGTCATCTGGTCGATAGCATGCAAAAAATCTGGAAATTATGCGCAAGCGATATTCTGTGCATTTAAGGTCATGCATCCTTAAAAGCAGGGGTCTCGTTCTTCTTGTCTGCATTTGTAACTTGAATCCGGCATAGCGGCGTGTTTGTACAGTTGTTGCATCGTTGTTTTTAGGTTCATACTGGAATCTTGTGCATGGCTGACAGTGACTGAACCATGTCAGCTTTGATGTGTCAGATGCATCAGTGGCTGTGATGTTTACAGCTGTTGCGCCTTCTCTTTCAAATTCCATCTCACAGCAGTCTAGAGCTGCTTGTTAAGAAATGATGATCCTTTGATTTAAGTGAAATGACCTTGTTACTTTACTGTTCCCCAGCTATCCTGTGTGTTGCAATAAATCATGGACGAGTGCAATACCTTTTTTGTTATGGTATATTTTTGATACTAACACCATTGCTCTGTTTTGTGCAGTCACTAAGAGAAGCGTATGCTTGTTGTCATAAAGCACTTTGAAGAAACAAGCATTTTATATTCTGTTTAGAATTAATGGAGGTCGAGGAAAGAGCTGTAGTTAGTAATCTAGATTGTAATACAGAGTATTCATACGCTTACTAAAGTAACATTTGAACTATTTGCTGCATTTTGAAAGCACCTGTAGCATTTATTACATATACAACAAAGGCCTCTGTGGTTTTGTTTTTCTTTCGATCCTCTCCTATTGCATCTCTTGCAGCAGTTTAAAAAATAAAAATAAAAATCAGAGGCCCCATGACTGTTTTATTTTAGGTAACCCAAGTGTAGGGGAGTGCGAACAGGAAGCGCTTATTGAACGGGTGACTCAGAGAGCGGTAACTGCATTGTCACTCAATATCTCCTGTGAGCTGAAGGGCCACGATGCCTCGGGAAGGACGGGGCCGGCTCCCGGAATCCTGTCCGGCCGGCAGCTGTGTCGGCCGTATACATATACGGGGCAGCTGCAGAGCCAGCTGTCGTTTGGTGTGAATCATACGGCAGGGGATGCCGTAAATAGACCAACGTGGGGTAATCTAATACCTGGCAGCCTTTTGATTTTTACTGCAGGCCCTGTCCCTCGCTCAGATAATTAAGGGGAATAATTAGTGAATAAAGAGAAGCAGAGTGCAAACAGTTGTTCATGGAGTGTCTCAGTGCTGCTTTTTTGTGTGCAAAACCTTTATCAAGGGTTGTAAGAGGTTCAGATACTGCTTTTGTAAACTCTTGTCAACTTTGTTTAGCTCTTTCAACCTTTTAATTTTGAGTGTGAAGTGTTCTGAATTGTAGCAATGTAAAGCTCACACAGACACTGTGCAACAAGAAAACACGATGGTGGTGCGGTTATGGTTTGTGCTCTTGGCAAGAGTAAGCAGTTCAGTGCAGACCTGTGAAAAGAGTAAAGATGACAACTAAAACCTGAGGACAGGGTCTGGAACATGAGCCTGTTGGTGTCAGCTACAGACAACTGCGTAGGAGACACAAAGTCTAGAGAAGTCCTCGTACCATCCACTCCACAAGCCACAGAACACTCCCCACTCCCTTCAGCAACCTTCAGTGCGGAAGATCAGAAATGCGCTGTGACGGGGCTTCTCTGGAGCAAGCAGGAGAGATGGAGGGCACTGCTGGGGTCCCAAGTCCTTGCACCCGCCGGGGCTTTGATAGGTAGAAGAGCCCAGGGAAGGGAAAAATGAACAGTGCTGTACTTATCCTGCTGTGAGATGTGGCAGAAGTCCACCCCACTGACAATTCCTGGGTTTGCAGCCCTGTAAGCAGAGGCAGGAGTGTTAGAGCTAGTGAGCCAAGTACCTTTGGAGGGAGCAGGGGAGAGCAGGGGAAATATTTCCAGACAATTTGGCTGCCATTTTACGGCCTTACAGCCGGTCAAATGTTAGGAGTGGCATTCTGGCTCTTAGTGTTTAATGTAGATTAGTCATTTCGTATTTGTGGGTGGTCTTTCAGGATGTGTAAAGCCACCCTTTTGGCAGGGTGCAGGTTGATATGAAGATGATGGGCATGTTTGGCTTGTCACTTGCAAGGTAGCAGGTCAGCAGTCTTTTCTCTTTGCCCCATACTGGCTCCTTGGTGGTTTGGGTCTTTTTCAAAAAAATGAGATCCCATTTGGAGCAGTTTGCGATGAATAAGTGAGAATTTAACAGCTGGCTCTGTAATGTGAGAACAGTTCTCAGCCTCTGGGCTTTCAGAGGTTGTGCTTATCATGGTCATAATGTGAGGGAGGGTGGGAGGAAGAGGAGAAGGAAGCTGCCATAATGTACCCACTGCCTCCTTTTCCTCCTCCTGCTCACCTGATGCGGTGAACATGGATGCCAGTTCATCTCAAATGGATCCTCTGCAAATGCTGTGCTGGTAGTTCCAGCTGTGACATGAAAAGATGATCTTGCTGGGGTAAATTTTGCCTCTTGAGTTCTGTGTTCATACCTGGTTTGGGAATGTCTTCTAAAGCCTTTTCCTTATGTTTCTGCAGGTGCTGGAAGATAATGACTATGGCCGTGCAGTGGACTGGTGGGGTTTAGGAGTTGTGATGTATGAAATGATGTGTGGTCGGCTCCCTTTCTACAATCAGGACCACGAAAAGCTCTTTGAACTCATCCTTATGGAGGAGATTAGATTTCCACGCACTTTGTCACCTGAAGCAAAATCTCTCTTGTCGGGTTTGCTGAAGAAAGATCCTAAGCAAAGGTGAGACTGTTGCTTAATAGTTGCACTTTTAAGCACTCGTGCCCTCAGAAATACCAAAAAAAAGGAGGCGGGGGGAAATTCTGTTGAAGGCTTCACAAAGAAGTTAATAATTGTGCTATGCAGAGGTTTGTACATGAAAGGGAACTATCCTCAAGACAGGTGACTTAAAAGTGACTGTTTCTATGCTGCTGTATGAAATGCCCATATCGCCATCCTTGAAAAACAATTGAAAATGGTACTGCACAAAGTGCTATTGCATGCATGCGTGCCAACCATTTTACTTTATTTAAAATTGAGGAAGGTATTTCAGTCGAAATTGTAGTTTTGTTTCTAATCCATTCAAAATGATCATCCACAAAGATGCAGCAAGTGGACCTACTCATTTCTATTTTAATCTTTGATGTGAGCTGACGCCGCAAGTAGCGACATGAAGCAGCTTTGGTAATCAGAAGGCAGAACTTCAGAATATTAATTCAGAATATTATTGCTATTAATGCAAAACTATAGCCTGGGACAAAGCAAGTTAACCCTGCCTTCAGTCATAACGAATCCAGTAGTTGGTGTGGGTCATAAGCTTCTCTGCACTGAATACTTTCACCTTCTGTCCCAGTTCAGGGTGCTGTCCGTTTTCTGAATTTTTTTTTAAATTTGTGCCAGTGATTTAGCATCCTGCTTTGGACAGTAGGTGGTGGTGTTTGTACCATGTTTGTGGTGGAGTTTATACCATGCTTAATCTACTTTTCCTATTTCCTTCTTTTGTTTTTGGGGTTTTTTTTTTGGTTTTTTTTTTCCTCTGTGCTGTATTATTTAAAAGGTAACCCTTGGTTTAAAAACAGAAAAAAACAAAACAAAAAAACCCCAAGCCCTTAATGGCTAACAAAAAGAAAATAGAACAAGATCCAAAAAGGATGTTGACCTTCTCACAAAGATAAACATAAGTTTAAAACACTGTCATCTTGTCAGCCCAGACATTTTAAAAACAAATAATATTGTGACTGTGCCCCTGATCCTCCTGTCCTGAACCTTCCACTGTAAATGGGCCCCAAATAGGAAATCTTTCATGTGAGGTGCAAGCAGAATATTCTGGTTTGCTTTCTGATGTTTGTTTAGTCTGTGTGTGTGCGTGCACATAGCAGGAAAATGTTTTTTGCCAGTACATAGATACTTGTAGCAAGGATTTTTATCATCCCTGCAGGCTGTTTCCATCACTATTTTTGATGGCAAATCCTGTTGAGAGGTCTTGTAATGCAAATCCACCATTTGTGCTACCAGAGGATTCAACATAGCGGTGACACTGGGAATGGGGAACAGTTGTAGTCAGGAACGTGGCCAGCCTTGTACTAGGTGGCAACAGCTGCACACCCCTCCTGACCCCGGCGCCTGCGAGGGGACCTCCAGGAGAAGGTGCTCTAATTGATTAGCAGCACCCCCCCGGCACTGCGCTCTGCGAGCGAGCGTGGTTGCAGCCCCTGCCAAGAGGAGTCCTGTCCAGGACAGCGCAGGGTTAGATACAGTTGTGACCCTTTTGTAGCTTATTCAGGTGGGGCCTTTCCATCACTGGAAACACAAGCAGCATCTGCTGTAATTTGTTCTTAAAGGAGCATCTCTGTTGAACCAAAATGCAATTTGTTTACAAACAAAGAACGCCCACTTGTTTCTAATTACAAGGTTTTCCCAATGCCAATAATTACTCCACAATATGCTCATTTTATACAAATAGCCGCTTCTTCACATGTATCTTCTGCAGGCTTGGAACCAACGATGCTCTGATCTGTTGGACAGATGATTTTCATGCTGCTGATAGACATAACTATAGACTAGACAAGCCTGCACACATGCCCGCAGCTTGCTAATTACACTGGTGCTTCCCAAGCTTTTTGGATCATGGACCATTCTTAAATACGGGTTTCTCACCAATCACTGTTCACTCAGCTTTTTAACTGAAGTTGCAATTCTGCAAATCCCCTGCACTTCGTGGCATTTCAGGCAGTATGGAGAGCTGAGCTGGAAGCACTAGGGGTAGAAGTCCTAAGTCTCGGCCTTGTAGGTTTATGTTCTTTTTACTGTGGAGTCTGTGTGCTGGGCGCCTGGCATACTTGGTAGTTGACTTATAGTGGACCCACATTGAAGAAAACCATCCAGATGGCTACAGAAATACATTCACTGAAAAGTTAAATAACGTGCGATAGTCGGTTGACATTAGCCCATTGATGATGACTTGGGGAACCACTGTGTAATTCAACAGAAATCCCCTCTTCCACAAAGCCCACTGGTGGACAGAAATTGGTGTCATCATAATGTTGTCTGTGGCAGAAAACATCAGAATTGATGGCATTTAGTAACTGCTGATGAACTCCAGAGTGGGACAGAGGAGACAGCCAAAACCATGAGAAAAATGAAACTGGGAGGTGTTGTCCCTTCCCGTAAAATCCTCAAAAAAACCCTAACAACAAAAAAGGTTGAAATAATGAAGCTCAGCGATGGGGATATTTAAAGTTAAATATCAAGGAGCTAGGGCATTGTGACCTGCGTCAGTGAATTAAATCTTAAAAATTACCTGTTGTACTAAGCTGGATATATAGAAGCAGTCTTAGCACTCTGCATTCAGTAATACCAGTTCAGTCTCAAACTTACAGACATATGGGGAAAATGTGAAGAACAATAAATTGCATTCTGCTTTTAATCATGGCTGTTTTCTAAATTTGGACATAAAAAATCCATTTTGTAAGAGAAAAGGAATTTTGAAGTTTCTTTGGGGATTGATAGAAGTTTATTAATCTCGTAATGCAAGCCCTAATTTTCCTAAGAAGGAAAAAATCTATTCTGTAAATATTTCCTTTTAATCTGACCTGAAATTCTCCTTCAGTGCTTTGTAACATGTATCAAATGGAAGGAGGTAATCAGAGTATTTTTTCCACGCATAAAACAGCAAAGTTTTTAACTTTTGTTATTCTTTCTCTGGCTGTGGAGACTGCAACCTGTGGAAGTGGGCACGGATCAGAGCGTTCCACGTAAATGGGCTGAGTTTAGATGGGTGGGTGCGTTTCTAATCAGCAGAGCGTCTAACAAGCTCTGAATCTTGGCAGGTTTTAAACTTGAGAGAACTTCAGGATGGTTTCATATCAATTTTGATCATGTGTTTTCACTACATGCCTTGGTGCTCCCTGTCATAGGTCAGGGTTATTCAGCCTCTTTCGGATGGGGTTTGTCACAAGCTGCTTCATCTACTTCTGTCTTCTGTGGTTCTGTTGGACTTTGCCATTCATGAAGAATGAGAGTAAGAAGATGCAGCATTTCAAAAATGCCAGTTAAAAGATTTAAGGATTTCACAGAGTTGTAGTTCTGGCTTTGGAGTGCTGAAGGTGGTCACAGGGAACTGGCAATCAGTCTTTGCAGGCACACAGAGACCTGGCACTTCGTTCTTTCTAGTGATGGAGGTACTTTCCACACCCTGAGTGCAGCTTTGGCTGCAGACACTCAGGAATATCAGGGTTAATCAAGCCTTCACCTGCATGAAAACCAAACTGTGGTTTGTTTGGTTGGGTTTTTTTTTCTCCTTGTGAAAGAAGGTGATTTGTAATTAAGGTGTATGTCTGTGTTCTCTGTTCGTGGTGCTCTGCTATGGGAAGGGTAGATGGCTTGAGCAAACTTGCTCTCAGACACAGCTAGGTCTGCAGCCCACACAGCCACTGCTGGAGTTGGAAGAGGTAGAGATGACAGTCATGGGGGCTGCAGGGGCCTGGAGGTGGCTCTGGCTAGCTGGTGGCAAGCCAGAGGAGGTAACCTCGAATAGTTCTCTTGGGCAGCAGACTTCATGCCTTGTGGGCATCCAGAATTTTGGAACTGTGTGTGCCAAGTTCTTATGTTTGCTCTGAAACATGCGCCCTGAGTACAAAAGTGTTTCTATCTCCAGACAAGTCCAGTGTCCTGGGTGTCACTTGAACTGCAGAGTGTTCATCAAGTCTTCATACATGTTTCACCAGGTGCTCTGGGGTAGATTGAAATTTAGCTGTTGTATATGATAATTTTAGTCTAAAATCAGTTCAGGCCAAAGCTGTTCAGAATGAGCTTGGACAAACTCAGACAGTTCACCCATAAGAAATCTAAACTGAAGCTGAGGAAAACATAAAAGGCAAATTTAAAGAGATTTTTTTTTTTTTTTTTCCCCAGCTTTCTAGAAACCGGTAGTTCAGGGACTTCCCAAGCCTCAGCATCCTCAAATGTGACTCCTCTGTGGTTACTAATGTTGTGGAGTGGGAGCTTTTCCAATGTTACTGGATCCACTGTGTTTGTATCGCTTGCATGTCGTTAATGAAGAAATGGGGAATTAAAGCTCAGCACAGAGCTGGGAGTTGTATTAGGCTTTCCGAAAGTCTTAATCTGTGAGCAGGAAAGCCCCCAAAGACTGCATGTACAGGGCTTTGGGAAGAATGTGGCCTTTTCCTTCCAAATCTGGAGTCATCAAACCATGCTGTTCCCAAAGCCAGCCAGAGCTTCTCCGTGCTGCTAGTGCTGGTCACAGGAAAGCAATGTAGATGCGGTTTTGAAATCCTTCCCTGTGGCTATTATAGGCCTGCGAAGGTAAGGGCCATAGTAAAAGAGGTTACTAGTCTCAATCCTGACTGTATCAGAGAAGGAGAAATATGTGTCTGTGTGCTCTGAGGTGGTGAACACAAACAGCTTTTGCTGAGCTGATTTTCTTGAGCCTTGTGGGTATGTTTGCACTGTTGTAGAACCAGGTTAGGGGGCTGGAGGAGTCAGAGAAATCGTGTGAAGACAGAATGGCAACAGAATTGATGCCTAAACTGTGGTCGTCATCTCAGTTGAGGATGGTGCACGCACAAATCTGTAAACAACAGAAATCTGTCACCTAAAAGTATGACAGTCTTCGGATGAGGATTCGCTCAGAGTCAGAATCTGTATTGTGGCTCCTAACGTGGGGAAGCACAAGCTTATGAATGGGGTTATTTGGCAGGGCAGAGCGAAGGCGGTCACTGCCCGCTTTCCTGTGTTGGAGCCTGGCTGTCCTTACTGTAGAAACTTTTTAACTATGAAACTAGAAGTTTGTGGGTTTCTTCTTAAAGAGCTGAGAATGGACATGGCTGCTGAGCTCTGTTTACTTTTACATGGACAAGTAGAGAAACAGTATTTTTCTTGTGATCCACTAATTGGGATCTTCTGGCCTGTGATAACAATACTTTCAGCGTTGACTGTGTGTTTATACACTATATTTTTTATATATATGTAAAGTTATAATACTTAAATTTTTAAAAAAATTTGCACATGATTTGTCTCTGATAGAGATAGCGGATTGCTCTTGATTTGTGGAGCACAGGCACTTGTCATTAAATCATTAAAGGAACTTGCAAGCAATACACAGTTCCATGAAAATTAAAAATGTGGAAATGGTTTCAGTTTAATAGTGATGTTGCACTTTATTAATAAATTTTCTCCTTGGGATTTAGCTGAAATATGGATACCAAGGCTCTCAAATTTTGAGGGAAGTTAAGTGAATAACCAGAGTTGTTTGGCAGGTATCTTTAAAGGAGACCAATTTAGACGGAAGTTTGGGTTTTAAAGAGGGGTTTTTTTGTTTGTTTTTTAATCGATTTTTGGCCTGTACACTTTCTGCTTTATTTCCTTGTGTACTGTAAATCTCAGTAGCTTTTTCTTTTTAAGTGCTATTTATAATGTTTTTGGTTCTGTCTGAAGACTCAGATGCACAACATTTAACTTTATTGTACAATAATCTTTTCAAGACTTTTATTCCTGCTATATTTTTCTTCAGTTGTTGCATGTCCTTATGAAAGACATACCCACTGCTCTTTCAGTTCACAGTCGTGCTTAACCATGATTTTTGCGTTAGGTGCTGGTTTAATTTTGTTCCCCTTGAGAGAGTCCTTTCATATTTATTCTGAAAAACAGGAGTGTGTTTTGGAATAAGTCTGTATCCAAAATATGAGGTTTCTGTCGTTTCCCCATTCACTTGAATGGATTTGTTTAATAGTATAGAGTTTTAAAAGGTAAGTAAAACATCTGGGGGTTCTCTTGGCATTTCCCTGAGTATGTATTTGCCCTTCATGGAACGAAGACTCATATTAGATAACTCTTCTCCAAAGTGCTCTGGCTGCAGCCAGCCAGCCTCCCTGCATGCTTCTGCAAAACAAGATTCAGGTTCTTCTTAGCTCATGGTCACTCCTGAACTTCTGTGCAAAAGTGCAGTCTATTGACATCTGTGGATAAAGAGGAGTGACTCCACCCTCTTCTTCTCCGGCCATTGTCATCTGCACTGGGGAAGCAACAAGGAGCCTGGTAGAGACATGGCAAAGCCTCTAGACCTGTGGGAAACCAGCTGAGAGACAATTACCCACCGAGTTTGTCTCTGTACCCAGGCTTCCCTGGAGTTTGTCTCTGTTCCAGGCTGCTCTGCAGCTGTATAACGTGCTGTCAGGCAGATGGGAGAGCCATCGTCCGGCTTGGTTTGGCCTGTGGGGCTCTAGGGTGAACTTAGGCTTGGTCTTAGAACTGACCTGGGGAAGGAGAGCATCACCCAACACTTTGTGACTCGAAGACTGAGGATCCGTTCCCTGTTCACTGCATGTTTCCCGAAGGAATGTGAAGGAGCAAGCCCCTTGGGTTGCTGTGCCACTAAATGAAAGAGGGCTGGGAAGCAAGCATGGACTCTGAGCTGCCGGGCACCTCTGCTGCTTGGTCTCTCTGGTACAGCTGTGGCCTCTGCCGGCTTGTGCTCTCTGAAGACAGTGCTCGGGCACGGCTGAGAGAGTTGCATGCACCGGGATCCATTCCCAGTCAGCAGTATGGACAAAGTGTCACTGTATTTGATGACTCCTCACTAAACAATCATTCAAGGCTATCCCAATAGCATTGTACCTTCAAACTATGCCCCAGAGCATGCAGTACAGTCTCAAGCTGTCAAAATACCACCACTTCAGTAGGCTGTAGCACAGGCTTCACATTATCTCTGATATTCTGAACCGAAACCCTTCCCTCTACCCCCAAATAATCATGTATTAAGGCCGCAGGGTTACTGCATGGGGCGCAGAGGAGATTCAGGGCTAACTGCTGCACAGCAAGGACGAGGACTGGTGGGGCAGCTTGCATTCAGGTTCAGAGAACAGTCCTTGGCCCGTTTTTCTGTCACAGTGTAGCTTTAGCCTTGGTCACGTAGAGCCATTGTTCCAAGCTCTTAAAATAGGGATAATATCTCAGTTTGCCAGTGGCACTAAGAATTGGAGAACAGGCAGATCCTAGAGGTCAGACTGGATCAACATGGTGCACCTCTTCCACTTAAAATCCTGAGTGTCGTCTTAACCTTGTTACCTGAAAGTGAGTCTCCTGCTGATTACTCAGTATGTGTTTTGTTTTCTCAGTGCATGCCGTTGCTTGCAGATGTGGTTCAATCTTTTAGAGAACATTTTAACCTCCACAGCAAAATTTAAGCATCTGTTAGCTCAAGACTGCAACCAAACTGATTGCATCTATAAGCTGCGTGGACAGTTTTATTTTGGAATAAAAGTGCTTTATCTTGATATACCTTAAGTCAGTAAAACACCCTTTGTGCTTTCGTGAAGCCGAGGAGGAGGAAGGATTTGCATACAACACGATATGATCACTGCAGATGTCAACTGTTTGCTTTAATGGAAATTTAAATCAGGTTGCATAAATCAGTTTGTCTTACAAATCCTTGCCTCTTACACTTCAAAATCAAATTCAGTTTTACTGCTGGTATCACTCTGCTCTAGAAAATTGTAAGAGGTAGTCACTTGTTAATTTAGAAAGAGGGGTGTGTGGCTCAGACCTTTTACTGGCAGGATCTGCTGTGGTCCCTAGAACAGCATCTTTCCTGAAGGGTGGGTCTTTTGAACTGTGATATTATTTTTTTTTTTTGGTTTCTTTGTTTGTTTAAGAGAGACCTTTATTCTAATTCTATTTGTTAGTCTGTTTTCAAATCTTTTAGTGGAACTGTGTTGAAGCCTAAAATGGCCTATCCTACAGCCCTTGCACAAAACCAAATGTGAAACAAATGCTAGAACTGCTCCCAAATGTATTATATAAACTCTGAATTTCTTCGTTACCATTTAATATAAATTTTGAGAAAAATAACTGTACGCAAACATTTCATTGCTTATTTTGCCCCAAACAGGTTAGGTGGTGGTCCTGATGATGCCAAGGAGATTATGCAGCACAAATTCTTTGCTGGCATTGTTTGGCAAGACGTATACGAGAAAAAGGTACTTATACAACTGTTCTCCCAAGGTGAATTGTAGCTGTGGATATACTGAGTGTTTCAAAATTTTATTGCCTTCTGTAAGGTACACAGAAGCCCTCCATGAAAGAGGTTTGCAATTGTTTTTAACGAGGCTAAACTGCTTCGTGTTTCTTAAAGTACTGTAATCGGATTACTTCTGAACCAAAGCTTTTTTTCGCAATGAGGAGAGTATCTCTCAATGAGATACCTGGGTTTGTGACTGAATAAATAGGATGCAACCAAAATTGCTTCCAAATTTAGACAGTATATAAGCTTTTAAAATGGCTTTTCCTGTGAATTCTTGCTGCCATTCCTTTCTGTCAGCTGACGTACCCCTTGCATGCCCAGCAGTTACTGTTGGTTCCTGAGCGTCTGAAGCAAAACCTCCCAGAAGCAGTAGTGGAAGATGGGTTATTTGTTCCCTTTGCGTTTTTCCTGTCTGGAATGATGAAAATAGACTGAATAGACAAATGCAGAGAAGTGAAGGCTTTTACATCAATCCAAGCCTAATATTTCCTTTTTGGTGACAGAAGGCTGATGCAAAGTGTCTGCACTTTATGGTGATTCTCACTGGTTTTCCTTTACACTGAGTTTGTAGGCTTTCCAGTGGGAGCCACTGAAGTCAAGGAGCCCAGCCCTTTCTCCATGAATGTGTTTTATCAGTTGTCTGTGTCTCACTGTCCCTTCATTCACAGATAACTTATTCCACTCCTTCAGGATGCCCCGATTTGTGCTCTTGGGGTGATCTGCTGTTGTCCTCTCCCATTTGATTCTCACCAGCCACATTTTCCATTAACGCTCACGTAAAATGCAGCTAACTAAAACGTGGGTCTGGTGATTCAAGGCTTCCATCTACTGGAGCCACATGATCTTACTCAATCCCAGCCTTTCCCGATTTCCCTTCTTCCCCCGGCAGCTCCTCATGATACCAGATCTCGTTTGATCTCTTAAGTACAGTGTAGTTCTCGCTCCAGTTGGTGGGAGCAGGTAAGAAACTTAGCAGAAACTGAGTGTGAATTCTTTGGATTCTTTCAGTAAAATTAATACAGTGATTTATTAGCAATGTTTGTATTCTTTAAAAAAATTAAGCATAACACCGCTGGTTTCCATACCGTAGTGGGACAGTTGTCCAGTGCTTATATACAATTACAAAGAGTGCTCTGTTTCCTTCTCTTCTTTCACTTCCTCACCCGTTTGTGTGACTAAAGGGAACTGAAAAAATCATAAGTTTTTGTGCCTTGAAAGTGTAAGATGGAGTTTAGACTTCTGTCCTTTCAAAGCGTCCCTTGAGAGAGAGCTGCATGCAGTCATGAGGGCAGGAGGGAGTTGCATGGAGTTTATTCAGTATAATGTAAAATAATAATAATAAAATAATAAAAATATAAATAAAATATAATAAAAATAAAAATAATAAAAATAATGTAACAGGAGGTTATTCCCATTTTCACCCAGCTGACAAGCTGAATACTTGGGGTTTTGCTATTTTTTGCAGTTTAAGGTAAAAAGTTGTTAACAAGGTTCAAATGTCTTCAGTGAAGTTCTTTTTCATTTGATAGTAGTCCTGGTTCCCTGAACGGAGGAGAAATCACACAAGCTGGAGGCCATTTATTTATCCATAGGACTGAGAAAGCCTTCATAAATTGCTCCATAGTAGTCCTAACTCAGATTGTTGTGGAAATTACCAGGAAATTCCAAATGTTACATATTTTGGAGAAAACAGTGTGCTAATTGAGACTATTTCTGACCTTGGCATATCCAAGGAGACTAGATTCTGGTTTTGTTCCTGTCCTGTCAGCATGTGCATCTGAAACAGCCATGCTGTGCAAGTGAAGAGATTTCAAAAAGCCTGTGAGTAATTGCTGCCCATGTTCTGGGTGGTCCAAATTGGATCCTGCAGCATTTACCCGAAACGCAGTCTCAGGGATAAAAGCGGAATTTTGTCAGCTGCCTAGAGGTGGTTATGTGCTAAGCTTGGTTACCCGCTATCTCCAGGTAACGGTGAATATGTTTATGAATATAGGCTTGGGGTAATCGAGAACACTTACTTTGTAATTAAGCTTTTTGGAAACATAGCTTTGCTTTGAATTATAAGGAGTTTTGAATAACTGGGGTTGTCCCAAGAATTTAAAATATTCATTAGACTCTCCTGGAAGAGTGTTGTTATTTGTCTCTGGTGCAAAGAAAGGTGCGATTTAATTTGCAGTGTTTTGCCCACCCACAAGCGAAACATAGGCAGTAAGATTTTAATCACATGTTTTTTTTTCCTGGTCTTTTTTGTCTCTTAAACCAACATAAACCTGCAGGTATCACGCTGGTCCGCAGCAGTGGGAGGCTCCAGGTGGCACCTCTCTGTCAGTTGAACTGCAGAGCTATTGCAGTGACAGCTTTTCAGTAAAGCAACATATTTGCTTGGTAAAGCCAGCGTTAGAGCTTTCTGCGGCTTCCTCTCTGTTTCCAGCTTAATGTTCTGAATTTGACAGCTCAGGGGGAAAAAAAAAAATATTATCTTGTGGGTGTATCATAATCTGTCTCAAATTGCTTTTAACAGATACTAAAATAAAAGGGAAAATGATACGGGCCACGCTAGCCCATTACACATGTGTTCCGATTTAGGATTGCTGCTCCGAGTCATTTTGATGTGCAGAGTTCAGGTGTCTGCTGCAGTGCCCAAGTCCTAAATCACTCTGCGCTGCGCGCAGCAAGCTAGAGCGACTGGGAGCATTGCGAGTGCCAAAACCACCATTAGCTTAAAAGGACAGCTAGAACTTCACACACGCCTGCACACACACAGCTCGGCAAAAACAAACCGAGGTTCGCTTTAAGGAATAGGTAGACAACTGCTGCAAGGAGAAGGAGAATAGAGTTAAAATGTGAAAGAAAGAATGCTCATTCTCAAGAGGATTTGTATACATAATATGCTGGTTTGACTTGATTGAGAACAGCATTATTAACATTATAATGCGAAGCATTTTCTCTTCAGTAGCTTCAGGGGGACTGTAAGGTTCAGAGTGACTTGTAGCTTTGGGATATCCTGTTTCCTTTTCCTTCTTAAATTCAGGACATAAAGACCACTTCTAAGGACCTCATTTTTTTTCACAGGAACGTTTGCACGTTCCTTTGAGCCATCCTTGGGTACAGAGGATAATTAATAATTTTAAAAAATGATTATTAATATATACTGCAATTGTACTCTTATAATAAACAGAATTTTTATGTCTCTTAATTTTTAAAGATTTGTTTAAAACTGTAGAATGTTTCTCTGTATTTAGAAATATCACCTTATGTGTAGATTACACTTCTTAAAGTGTTCATGTTGAAAATGCAGGAGCTTCATTGAATTGTTGTTTGTAAGACAGGGCAACGCTGTTAGGTGCTCTCAAAACAGATCAGAAAGGTGATTCTGGCAATAGGGAGCTTGAAGCTAGTGCTTTTCTTACTTACTGACTTGCCAAGCAAATGATTCTTCAGATGTAAGGTAGAGAAAAGGTTGGGGGTGGGAAAGAGGTGTTTTGTACATTCAAGATTTGCTGTTTTCCAGGTAGTGATTTCTGTCAGTGTCATTCTTGCTTCTGTAAGAGCAGAAGTGCAAGTCTCGGGGTCACTCCTTAATTCCAGCTGGAGCAATTTACCATTTGCCTTGATAAACCTTTCCCTGCAGTTTCAGATTGGAAGCCATATACTTCCTCAATCACGCTCATAAATTGTTGCCTGGTGTGGCTCAGTGCTATTAAAAGATGGCCATGCTTAACCCCAGTGGTGGGCGAACTGAAGCCCAGCGCCGAGAGCTATTACATGTCCTCTGTGGGAGGGCTGAGAACAGTGTTTACATTCTGTTTCTACCGCATCGTACAGCGGGGAGGTGAGCGAGGTCTGAATCCCAGCGCCGTTGCCCTCCAAAATTGTACGTGTTCCAACTCTGTGCATCTGTATGCAACTAGCTCCACCAGCCCGCTTCCCAGGCGCGCTCCTCCTCCAGCCCCAGCCAAGCAGCTCCGCTCCATCTGGAGTTCCTCTTGCCAGAGCTTGCCTAGGTACACATGGATGATTTTCCAGCCTCTCTGCCCAAGCGAGTGTCAAGAATAAAACCCAAATAGTGCTACTCGTGGTGTAACAAGAGGAGGATGTTCACTGCTAAGTGTGCTGGGGTGTTGGGTTTTTTTTTGTTTTTTTTTTTTTTTTGGTAAGCGCTCCAGATTTGCTAAGTTCAGAGTTGGTATCAAACTGCTTTTGGAGACTGGGAATATAAAAACTTAACACTGTTGCTGCCTTGTCCTAAATTTTCCCAGGTTGTCCGACGTACAGCACAGCTGCTGTCAGAGCTGCATGGGCACAGTAGCTCTGTAGCTGAAATTTTTTTTTTGTGAACATTACAACCCTTGTGGTGATGCACAAGACGAGCTGATCAGTTTGGTATCACTGAGCATCTTCCTTTCTCATTTTCATCCTCCTCAAGCATAAATCTGACTAGATGCAGTTGACAATTTCCATATAATTAGGTGGGGAACCAGTATATACTATTATTTTTAAACATTTGTAAGCATATTATTTATTACTTGATGAAATGTTAGGATTCTAGGTTTTTCTTTGTGCAACTAAATTCTAGAGGCAAAATGCCTTAAATGCCCCATAAATAGGAAGCACACACCTAAATATATACTTTTTACTGTGTATGGTTCCTTTTTTATGAACTGGCATTTTTAAACTTATTTTAGGAATGTAGTAACAGTGCTGCAAGCTGTAAATAGACAGTATTCTTTTTTCTTTTCATAGCTTGTACCTCCGTTTAAGCCACAAGTTACATCTGAAACAGACACAAGATACTTTGATGAAGAATTTACAGCACAGATGATAACAATCACTCCTCCTGACCAAGGTAAAGTTTTCCCAAATGTTGCCCACTATGTTCTCCAGTCGACCAGAAATAATTTACTGTAACGTTACCTGGTCTCTTCAGAACATCTGAAAAAGCATCAGTTTAAACTTCTTGGTCATATACATATATAGAAACCCAGGAAGTTGGTGAACTGATGCGAAACTTTCCACGTGTCTTTCCAGTTTGAGAAATGAAAAACCTCTTTTAGAAGATAGTGAAATTATTTGTACTCTTGTCTTTTCCAAATCTGCCCATTCCCACTGGAAAATAATTCTGTTCATGAGATCTGCATGCGTACATCTGCTCACACGCTGTGTATATGGAAGCAGTCAATTGAGTATGGGCTAATGTCCATATTCAATAAAAATATATTTTATTTTCATGGTAAGTGAGCATGTTTGATGCTCTGAAACAGCAATTGCCAGAAATTCAGAACACTGAATATGGATTGAAGCAATGCAGCTCCTAGAGATTTCAAATGGACATCTGAACAACTGTTTACCTGCAACAGTCAGGATATTCTGTGATGCCCATTTAATGGAGTGAGGCTCAAGACTTTCTGTTTCTGTGCCCTTTCAAGTTGTGGAAGAAAAAGGGGACAGTGAAGTTTTCTGAAATAACTCTACTGTGCATTATCTTACTGTTTGTTTACTTAAAATCAAAAAGATAGAAAATGTTGTCTACTGTTTTTCTCATTTTTCAGATGACAGCATGGATTGTGTAGATAACGAGAGAAGACCTCATTTTCCTCAGTTCTCCTATTCAGCCAGTGGAACCGCTTAATGTTTTGCAATGTTTTCCCATTCAGAAACAAAACAGACTGCATTTTGGGGACCTTACTTCAATGGACACTAGAGAACTTTCTATATTATCTGAATTACAAACTGTGTTTGTATTACGATTTAGATGAATTTGTAGGAAGCCTCACAGATTCTGTATTTAAAACAATTCTTTGATGCATTTTTGAGAAGGAAAACAAATCCATTCTTAAAAGTATTACGGCAAGGCTTTTATGCTGAATGACCATAGGTTTTTAAGAATATACACCAAAACTGTTTACTTTAGAAATAATTAAGGTATTCAACATATCAGCAACTCTGACCAGAAAAATTCCCTTATTTTATTTATTTCATACAGTTCATTATCTAAATATAGAATCTGCACTCTGAACAATTAGATTTATATAGGAAGATATAAGACTTTAGTAGCTAGTGCAATAATATAAGCAACAAAGTGAACAAACTCTGGAGGGTTAAGGTTCAAACTCATTTTGGACAGCAGTGAAGTGTCATCCAACTCCAGAAAACCGACTATAGGAACAGCATTAATGGCCTCAGTGAGGTAAATCAAAAAGCAAAAGTTATTTTTGTTATAACATCTGCTACAAGACATTACATATCAAACCAAATCCAGTGGAATTGCCACGTCGTACAGATAAGTATTCCATTCTAGGCAGTGCATTTAATTATTCCATTTGCATAGAGTTTAGGAATACTTCATAGGATTGGCTTCTCAGAACCTAGAAAACGCTTGATTTACCAATCTGATATGAAATGCAACAATGCAAAATCACCCACTTTCACCACTGTATAAAAATACCATGCAGGTCTAAGGGAGAAATCATCTTAATGAGTGAGTCAACCAGACAAAAGTACATTTTGGCACTGAAGTAATGACTTGTTGCCGCTTTTTTTTAATGAAAAGATATATGAATATATATAAACACTTAATGATTTTTTGCATCATGCCAGATCATTTCTTCTTTCTTGAGTGTGCATTAAAGGTATCAGCCAACAGGTTGTGGTGCCTTCTCACTCTTGAAGATTCACTTTAACAGTGTTTCCCATGTATAAGAAAAAAAAACTAGGTTGAAACTTCATATGTGTTTGAATAATAATGGTGTTCAAAAAGTGAATTTTTTTTTGTTTGTTTTTCATTTTTAATCTTAGTGGAAAATTCCCCACACCCTATTTTTGTTGTATCATGTTTCTTTGTAATTTTCATAAAAGCAGTCTTATTCTGTCTCTGCAGCGAATGAATTTATTCCATTGTAGGTTGCGTTCTCTTAAGTTGCTTTTTTTGTTTTTCATTCTCTTGACTGTATAAAAAAATGATGACATGTACTGCAGTTAACTAGCATTTAATTTTTTTATTTGAAAGGGAGTATGTTATGAAAACCCTTGCTTCCCCTTTCCATCAGAAACTGCTGTGTTTGCACAGAGAGCCCATCATCTTGATTTTTTTTTTTTTTTTAACAACATTCAACTCTAGTATTTTTACTCATGATATGAAAGTTTCCCTCCAAATACTTAAATAAAAACTGCTTTAACAAGTTAGGTTCTTATTTCTTGTGGTAGGAGCCTTCTGAATTTGTAGAGATGCAACAACTGCTCCAGTTTCTTGAGTCTGATTTGCACATCACTGAGGGATTTAGGCTCTTCTGCCCCTCCTTAGTTGTTTCATCTCTGTGCTGTCATTATGTAAAGGCAATTTTGGAAAATGTTTGTTAAAAGAAATACACCCTGTGCCAGAAATAGTTTGTCTTGTGGTGAATGAGGGACAGGCCTCATTTTGCTGTCCTCCTGATGCCAGTGAGATTGTGTTACTGAGGCCCTCATCTTCAAAGGTATTTCTATTCCAGTCACTCGGGCCAGTGTACAATATATAATACTGCGTTTCCTTTCTAGGGACTAATATTAATCGCTTCTGGGAGGTAGTTATACAAGGCTGGAATGTCCTTTTTTGAACAAGAATGCAGAGAAAAATACAAGAACATCCAGGAACAACTGCAGTATGCTTCAAACGAAGCACAGAAGTTGCACCTGTAGTAAGCCAGTAAACATCCAAAACGTTTTCTGGTTCAAGGAATAAGCTATAATTGCCAGCAGAATTTACCACACATTTTATGCAAGGAGGGAAGGTGAAAGAAGGGATTTCTGTCTCTGTAGAGACTGATGCTGGACAGGCTGTCCCGCTCTGCAACTCTTGATCTCTTAACTGCTCTCCTTCCTTTGCTCCCAAGCCTTCATCTGAGTTTGCAGCCAGCCCGGGGATGAAGTCCAAAGAACTCTTCTGCAAGTCTACAAGCCCCGACAAGTTCTGAACTAAGACGCTTCGTGCATCCAAATATAGGCAACACGAATGAGCAGAGGTTACCATAATCTGCCCCGGGAAAATCTGGTTGTTCCAAATGCAGGAACAGACATGGATCGGGTTGTTCTGTTGAGGCTGATTATGTCTCAGAACGGTATTTTTTCTGCCGGTTGTTGCTAATGGATTTTTGTTTTATCTCCCATATATAAAGTGGAACTTAAAGAAAAAAAAAAAAGCTGCCAAAAAGGTCTGGGAATCTTAGTATCGTTAGCAACAGTGAGCCGTGAGTGCCACACCTGAACATGGGGTCTTTTTGGTATTCTCCCTCATTTTGCCTGTGATTATTCAAAATGCCTTGCCTCTCCTCTATAATTGAATGATTACCGGCATTACGGCTGTCTACCTGCAAATGTGAAGTGTGTTCTTTAAATTTTGATTTAGCACAGAAAATCCTATCACAAAAGTCTGTGCCCTGAGCATCGCTCGCCTTGGCTTGCTTTTGTACCACATATGCAGAGACTGCTTAAATCCTGCATGTTCCTTTAGCTCTTTTGTTTGAAAACCCAAAACTTTTCAAACTCTCTGTACAGCCAAAACCTCCTCATTCTTCCTTCTGGCATTGACAAATGTCATCTTGCTCTGGTGTGGTACACCACAGCAAAGGTGGTGCATCCCAGGTGCAGAACACTGGTGGTATACATATGTTACAGCCCGGGAACTCGGTTGTAAACTCAGGTTGGGAGAAAAACAGAAAAAAACTTTGCAAGAGCAAATAAATAACATGCAGTCTCTGTGTGCCTCTGACTGCAGTTGGAAGATGAGGTCAGCAGAGCACTGGTCAAAACAAAGCTGCTTGTGCTGTTTGGAGTTAAGCGACATCAGCAGAAGCCAGGTAACTCTGCAAATCCCATTTTATATTCTCTTGTATAACTAAAGCCTCCGGTACGATCCCATTAGGATACTTCCCTTTAAACTGGGCGAAGATCACCCTGCTTTGTAGCATTCCCAACTCTGCACAAACTATGACCTCTCATGGCCCACAATAAACTAAGCAGCTCTGTCTTCCTTTTTTCTTTCTCCCCCGTCGCCTCTCCAGCAGGTAACCTCCACGTCCTCTCCAGCTGCTGCACTGCTCTCGGGCAGGCCTCGAGTCTCTCTCGGCTGCTGTTGGAATTTGCTCCTGCTTTTCCACCCGAGAAACAAATTAAGATAGTTTTTGGAAGTGTAGGGGTAAAAACTTCCCTTGATTGTTGGAGCTGGATGATCTTTGCTTTAACTGGAGGTGAATTTTCTTGTCTGCTACTTTGGGTTGCTTACGTGCATTTAATGGCTCAGTGCAAGAGTATTGTATTCTTCACACTCTGAAATGTTCGTGTTGGGGTTTTTTTTAATCTTTGTCAGAGAAAATACCCCATTGCTTTTCAGAGAGCTAAGTCAGATTTTTATCTCCAGTAGCGGGATTTAGGACGATGGTCCCAAATTAGAGGTCACAACCTGTAGTGGGAATGCAAATTCCAAGGAGATGGGGTTGCAGAAGTGAAGCCCACACCTGTGAGAGCTGCATGGGTTTTCTGCCTGAGAAATTTGGGAAATGATAATTTAGGAGGAAGGTTTGATTTATTTCACTGTATCTAAAAGAGCTTCAGAGGTGAAAACACATTTGAAGAAATGAGTGAATGTGAAAGGATTCTTCAGTGTTGCAAATGAGTGTGTTTGTCTTCCACTTTTAGCTCAATTTTCTTAATAACAGGGAGGTTAATTGCCACTAGAAGTAAACCGAAAAGAACACACAGTGCCTATAGCAAATGGGAGCTTATTATCCCCAATGCAGCTGAGCGTACAGACGTTTGGTAGCTCTGTCTAATGGAACATATGTTGCATTCTAATCAGGTGATGACTAGTTGCTCTGTGTCTCAAATCATTTAAAAAAAAACCCAACATTTTGTTACAGTAGTCCCTGCATGCCACGATTTTTTTTTTTTTTTTTTAATTTAAAGTTTTGTAACTGCTGGTCACCATCCTGGGTTTGTGAGCAATGGTGGGTTCTCTCTTAAGGACGAGATCAAGGACGTTGTATGTGAAAACACTGCTTCCCTCTGTGGTTTTTCAGCGTGCTGGTAACTTGGGTCTCAGTTTCTCCTTCGCTGAAGCGCTGCTTCACACGGTTGTCTGCCTGCCACTGCTCACTACCTGTTTTCTCTTGAGGTGGACTTTATCAACTTCTTCCTGTGTTTAAATGTAACCCAGGTCTATGCTAAGATTCCATTTTTAGGAACTTTTCCACACTTGTTACTTCATGTTTTCTTCCATATTGCCATAACTGCTTGTTGCTTGGAGTTTGTTTCAAGAAGATAATGACCGCCTTGGTTTGAGATGCTGTCCAGGTGTCCGAGTCCCACCTTTTTCTCATTTTCTTTTATGACATTGGCCCTGGTCATCCCAAGTTCATTGCAGTTAGTGTTTTAAGCAAAGTATGTGTATCTTTGTTGAATTCATACAGGTTTTATTGCATTATAGTTCTGTAATTTCCTCAGGGATATGAGGAGTATATTGGATTCTACTATATTATCACTGAAGCGGAGGTTGTCAGCGTGTTCCTCTAAAGCAGGAACATGAGCGCTTGCCCTCGCGGTGCTTGAGATGCGTGCAGGCAGGCTGGATACTCCAGGTTTCCTCCAGTTTCTCTCCAGGAGAGAAAACCCTGAGCGATAGTTACTCTTTCAGGTGGCGGCTGATGGCTGCTTTGCGTTCGGATTTGCACTCTGACGGGATCCTTTGGCTCTTTCGGAAAGGCTGCGTTAACAGCATCACCACCGGGCACTTTGATCTCCGCTTGGTTTTGGTGGTTGCAGCTTTTCCTTTCCACAATGTCATGCCCAGAATAGATTCCTTGTAATGTTCCTCTCACCTGTCTGACACGGGTCGCTCAGAAATTGTTTGTCGCGCGGGCTGGAGCTGCCAGCTCCCTGAAGGTGGCTGCCACCTGGAGCCTCGCAGCTGCACCACTGGATTTGCATATGCTTCCAGTTTGCTGACTGCTGTTGAAAATGCCGGTTGGACTTAGGTCTCCTGACGGAATTGACGCCGGCAGCTCGGCACACTGCAGCAGCGCCTCATCAGGAGCCCCAGAACGGCTGAGGGCACAGTCCGCACCGTAGAGGCTCCTCCGCCTGAAATTGGCTTTTTAGTTTTAATTCGGTGAAGTGCAAATCTGACTGTGAAGAACAATTGCAACACCTTTTCCCACGCACAGGCCTGGCACATGGGCACAATACCGCATTTGAGTGATTTTTTTATTTTTATTTTTT